AAAACTAAGAATTTCTTTTTAAAAGTTCTTGAAAAATTTACCAAAAATACTTTTCTGGTAAACTAAAATTGTTCAGTCTTGACGTCCGCTCACTTATGGCCTAGGTAGTTGACGGCCTGCACGTCGGCGCCGTTGAGGTTTTCGGCCCAGTTGACGACGTCCCGCCAGTCGAGCCGCTGGCGGTACACCCGCTCGTGCAGCAGCATCTGGTCGGCGTTGCAGTACGCCGTGGACACGTGAACCAGGGACTTGAGCAGCGGCATGCCGCGGGCCAGCTCCACGACCTCGCGCGTGCTGCGCAGGTTGGTGAACACGGCCTTCTGGAAGGGGTCGTCGAAGCGCACCGAGGCCGCCACGTGGTACACGACGGACACCTCCCGCTGCAGCAGCGCCCTGTGCTCCTGGCTCAGCCCGAGCCCCAGCTCCGTGATGTCCCCGGGGAGCACGACGATCTTGTCCAGGGCGTGGGGCTGCTCGGCGCGGAGCCTGTCGAACAACTGCAGGACATCCGGTCAGGTCACAACGGATCAAAGGGGTCAAAGTGTCGCCGGGCAATTCCAGAAAAAATGGTAAAAAATGTCCGTCAGTGACGGTATTTGTGAGCACCTCTCAGTCGCTCACAAATACGGTCACTGACGGACACCCCTGTCTGGAATTGCCGCGCCGAGACGTCGACGTCACCCGAGACGACCTACCGCCACGTCCGTCAGGGTCTTGATCCTGTCCAGCGGCGAGACGCCCTTCTTGGCGCGCAGCACGAGGTAGACGTTGCCGACGTCCGGGCACGTCCGGAGCACCTGCTCGACGATGAGGCGGCCCAGGAAGCCGGAGCCGCCCGTCACGAACACGCTGCGGCCCTTGTAGAACTCGGCCACGGTGGGCAGCGCGGCGCGCTCCCCGCGCAGGCGCGTCCGCTCCGCTTGTACCTCATCCCGGATGGCATGGAGCTCGTCCGACACTGGCGGGCCTACGGCAGGCTGGGGCTGCACAGCAACAAACCACCGTGACTACCTGCAACCACCACCCCTTGCTGCGGACAACATCTGCGCGCCGACGCCCACCTCTTTCTTCCAGAACATGGTTGACCGGCGGTCCTGCGGCCACTGCGCGTCCCGACTACCTGGCCGGTCGCGGTAACATGCATAAGGAGTCGTCAGACTCATCAGCCTTTGAAATGTCAATTAGAACCTGCCGGTATTTGCCTAGTTTGTATTCCTAGAGGCGACTCCTCTCCCCCCCCCCTCCCCTTTCCCCTCTTTGTGAGGCGGCCAGTGGCACCGAAGTGGTCTACGTTCGGTTCCCAGCCCTCTTGACTTGACGGCGTAGTGTCGACCATAGTGTCATCCACGTGTAGAAATGTGCACACAAAGAAAGAGGCGCATTCTCGCATGACGTCGTGACGTGGCACATATCACCTTTTTTTCTGCTCATTTCCAAGTGTGTTACTTGCATTTTGCGACGCTCCCATCAAGGAACGGACTATTCTGTACATGGGGAACCCGAATGGAGTTTGTCCGATGACGGAAATGTATATAGGCGATTCAAAAAGACACGAACAAAGTTGTGAGAGGGGTGTGAACTGGTTTCTAGTTTGTAAACAGCAGTAACCAGTGCAGTGTTGCGGGGTTTGCGTCACAATTAGCCGTTACGTCGCATTTCTTGACTCTCCCTCAACTACTTTTTGTATTCCCCGAATAGCTACCGCGTCAGTGCCGCATGTCCCGACCCGATACCGACATTCGCATGCAGTTGGGAAGCTAAACCAGCGCGGGGGTCTCTATTTAAATGAATGCACTTGACGAGCGGGGGGAGGGGGCGGGGAGGATTTCAGTAGGGATAAACACAGTACACGTTTAAACTACTCACATCACGTTATTTTATTAAAACAGAATCTCTACGAACAGTAGGACTTACAGTTCGATAATAATTACACGGCATCTCGCCTATCACATCGGCAATTATTGCAGATCGAGTCGGGCTGTCGGGCTGCTCTTCAAGCTCCTTAATTATTGTGACTCACGTTTGAGTCATTTATGAGCAACAAAAAGTGACACCGATTGTTACTTGACTCCAAGCCTCTCTCCATTCGGTGAAAGGGGTTTGTTGTAAAAAAAGGGGAGGATGAGGATGGAATGTGAATAAGAAGGTAGAGAGCCTTGCTTGTCACACTTATTGGACATAACTTAAGATTTAGTCTTACTTTCCAGGGACAATACCTATTCGTTACTATAAAGGGATAGTGCAATACACCACAATACCGGCAATGGCAGCCATTGTTCCGTGGTACACTTTCATCAGCAAACGCAGCCTGCAAAGAAAGAAAACGTTTTCATCGATTTTCAACTGGGGATTTTAAGTGACCGGAACGTGTTTTTAGGAAAGTTTTTAAGGAATATTTTTTTAAAATCTCTAAAAAAAATTCTCCTG